AACTTGTTATCTAAAATGTCCTTTTATGAACATGATATTTGATTATTATATTTTAAATCATTAATACTTCTCATAACATATTCACACATGATAATGCATTCATAAGCATACATAAAGTTAAAAGGAATAAAAAAATTTCAAATATCAAAGAATATTTTTAATAAATATCTCAAATGTTTTGCTAAGAGGTGTATGTCTTGCCACAAAAGATGTGATCGGGAAATGGAACATTAGCTACGAACACACCTGACCAATGTTCAATGATAATACTAATGTTAATTACTTTACGGTACTTTCAATCGGGTGAATCGAATTCCAAATAATATTTGTCCAATACATTCTAATTAGTTAGACGATACACCAAATGAGCTCACGATGTTAATTTTAAGATTTTTAAAGGAGTAAAATAAGAGTGGATACATATTGAGAAATTCCTTTTATTTTAAAGTAATTTATATGCATATCATAAATATGCATTATATGTACGAAGTTTGCTTCTAAGTATTAGTTCATTCCACGTTATCCCTCCACGATTTTTTATGATAAAGGCAATATGATTCAAAATAACGACTTGTGGTGACACGGACTCTGAATTATCATATTTAAATATTGAATTCCTTTTGTAAATGAAGTTAAAATTCATTTTAATTGCCTTATATTCTTATTAAGTACAAATTATTTTAAAATAATAAGTCATTGATGTTTATTATGTTGAAGAAAAAATGAAATCATCTTTTTGCATTAATGATTTTTAGAGAATAAAACGATAATACTTACAAATTAGGTATCTTAATTTTGGGGTGTTACATTGATAGTGCTTGCTTATTAGAGATTTTGTCCATCGAGGGAAAAAGATTTTTCATATAGTAATATTATTTGTAGTCGCTCATTACGGTAATAACCTATACATGACATACATATGTCATATGGTTATTTGATACATTAATGTGGTAATTTTTTATTGATTCGTGTATCAAATAATCATCTATCATGTATATTCCACGTAGAACGATTCTTATATTGAGTGATTGCACATGTCATTACTCTTTTTCATATATAATAAATTAAGATTTTTTGTTACATGTGTAATACTGTTCACTTCTATTATTAAACCAATTTCTTCTAAGAAAAACTATTCTAATTAGAAGAAAATGTTTATAAAATTAATCAAACTAGTTCAAAACAGCTTTTGGCTCAAAAGTTGTTTTTGACTTTTTAAAAGTCATGCCAAACATGTCTTTATACCATTTTTTTTGAAAAAAAAAAAATTAAATTAACTAGACAAAACACTTTTAAGAAATTATTTAAACATGTTCAAAATATCTTATTAATTTCAAAAGCAATTTTAACTTTTCAAAAAGTCCTATCAAACAGAAACTAAGTAACAATATTTGTACTTTTTTCTTGATTATAATTAATTAATTTAATTTAACCTACTAATTATGCTTTAAAATTGTCAAAAGAAGCTTGATTGTGCAAAATATGAATGATGTTATTTTTGTAAACTGTGTGTTTCTTCTATTTTCTTTTTATATATATTGGGATATCATTTCATAATTAAGATAATATATCTGCATCGACTGTTACAGAATAATTAATCTTTTGATTTTTAATCTTTTGCATGTTAAAAGGGCTCTTTCGAATCTGTTTGACCTTCCCACATCTCCACTAAAATATACTAAAGATGGAGCAAATCTAAGTGGAAGTAGCAACTTGTATGTTTTCCTTAAAAAGAAAATAACTAGAAAAATATAAAAATATTTAATTAAAATTCTATTTTCCATGTACCATTTATCATAGTATGCATATGAAATATACAAATTGAAATAGCTATGAGTGTGATGCAATGTTCTTGATCAAACAAGTCGATCGGGTTAGAAAATTGGGGACCTAGTCCTGAAATTGTCCCAATGTCTATTGGCAATTAAATCAATCGACCTTATAAAAACTATTGATATTATTATTTTTCTGAAAATAAATGACTTAGTCCTTAGTTCATATATTCAAGTTTATGCTTTAAATTTGATGGTGTTATTAAAGCTTAATCTCTTGTTTCTTTTTGAGTATGGTCCAATATTTTAGAAATCTTATACGATAAATTACTATCCGATTGGACTATATAATAAATGATTAAAAATTTCATGCTATTAAATGTAGTTCAATATTGTATCATCTATCTTATCAAACCAAGTCATAGTAATACATATAGCACGTTGCCAGCTAAACCGTTAATTTGTTTTCTGTATATTGATGGCAATAGACTGTAAGGGCCTAATATTTAACTCCCTTGGTCCAATAATTATTCTCAAATCCTAGAGTCAACTCTCCCATAGGGTTGGGAAGTGGGACCAGCCGCTCGATTCACCCCATTTGCGAGCTGAGCGATAAAAACTTGTGTTAGTTTGAAAGTACGAGTACGATTCTAGATCAAAAAATAAAAAGAAAAAAATACACTTAATAACAGTTGTTAATTTGTTTTCTAGTAAATTGATGGCAATAGGATGTAAGGGCCTAATAGTTAACTCCCTTAGTCCAATAATTATTCTCAAATCCTAGAGTCAACTCTCCCATAGGGTTGGGAAGTGGGACCAGCCGCTCGATTCACCCCAGTTGCGAGCCGAGCAATAAAAACTTGTGTTAGTTTGAAAGTACGAGTATGATTCTAGATCAAAAAATAAAAAGAAAAAAATTATCAACTTGAGCCCAACTTCCTTCAAGCAAGCCGACTTTGGTGATGAATCAAGCTGAGTAGCTCAACTCTGCTCACTTAACACCCCTAATATGTCATTTCCCTTTTATGGCAAACCCACCTCTCATAACAATTCCCAATGTCAGTTTAAATGATTCAATGCTTGTAAAAACATGTTGGTCTATCTCAAGAAGTTCACTTATAATTAAATAAATAACTTTTTTATTACTAAAAGTTAAAAACGTGGAAGTTACTCGTTACTTCAACTAGGTTTCATGTTCCTTTTAATTGAAGTAATGAGCCTACCAATATGAGCATGACGGTTAGACTAGTGAAAGACACTCTCAGGTACTTATAACCTTATGTTATAGTTTGACTATTTTGAGAAAGTAATATTTTTACGCTTTTCTAAGGTTAACTAAACAATGAAAATTGTGACGAGTGACAAATTGAAGCAATCTCAATAACTTATATTTCAAGATCTGGTAAATGATGAAATATTACCCTTTTTGTGAGTAATTTTCATTTTTGTTCAGTTTTTCTCTTTACCTAATTTATCCATACGTATGGTGGATAATTATAATTGACTTAAAACTAGTGTTGAAAACACTTGCAATAGACCTTTCTGTGAAATAGACAAAGACATGTTTATATATGAAGCATTAAGGTGACAGCCAAGAGTTCCATGATTGTGTCCTCTTACCAAATTTTAGCTACTTGTGACTAAGTGAATAATATACAGTTATTTTAGATAAGGTGACTTGGCCTGATATCTGAATTCATTAGTTAAAGATGCCATTCTATTAAATTGGTCTATTACAATACAGTTTTAATTTTCAAATCAGATAGTTTAACATAGTATTAGAGTACATGTGATGACATCAAATTCAGTTTGCAGTTGACGAACCGAATCGGACTATAATAAGGTGGTTTAAATGGGTGGGTAGATTTATCGATGGTAGTTTCGATTTGATTTCTTGCCAAAAAAAAAAAAAGGACAATTGCAGCCGTCACCCCTAATCTTTCCAAACGTTGCATGTAAGATCCTTTTTGATGGTTTTCATCCAAAATTCCATCAATTAACTGAAAAATTGATTTTGACCACATTTTTAACAATTTATAGAGAGATAGAATGATAACTTTACATTAAAATTAAAAATTAAAAAATAAAATTAGTCTTCTTCTTCCTGACCCATCCCAAGTCCATGCCCACCCCCACTCCCACAACAAACCAATAAACCCATGGACCAGGGAATGCTTCCGATAATCTGATTGAAGCTAAGATCTAAAGTTTGGAGCCCTCGTCGCTATCCCAGAGTCGTTGGAATCTTGCCAAGAATCATGTTCGAAATGATTGCAAGAAACCTAAGGTTCTTCAATCGAAAAAGGGTTGAGGCGGAGACCCATTGACTCGACCAGGGACTATGGTTAACTTTGCGAGACCCGACAATTTTTCGATTACTGGGTCTATCCAGCCAATTATACCCGGTGACCCGGCTCGAGAATCACCGAGATTTAAGGCAACCACTTTATCTCCATCACAATACACACTAGCAAAACTGCACAGCTCCGAAGTGAAATCCCATGAGGCAAAATAATTCGACTCGGGCAAATCATCCAAGCTGTTTCAAATCGATGCAGGGCTGAGAAATCAATTGGGTCCAAAATTGCATGTGTGAAAAAACTGAATCTAAAAAGTAAAATCAAATGGAATAGAAATACAAACCAATAGTTCTTATTTTTCTTCAACAGGCAACACATTTTGTTTTAGATGAATGCTGTAGAATCAGGGTTCATAAATGATTTCAGGAAGTTCTTCAACGGAGGCAAAATCCAAAATTGCAGAAAGAGAGTGAAATCAAATGACAAATGTGGTGGCGTTGGGGGGTTGGGTTAGGGAAGAAGACCAATTTTATTTTTTGATTTTTTATTTTAACGTAAAGTTACCATTCTACCCTTCTAAAAATTGTTAAAATGCGGTCAAAATCATTTTTTGGTCGACTGATGAAATTTTGGATGAAAACTGTCCAAAAGGCTCTCACATGCAACGTTTGGAAATGTTAAGGATAACGACTACAACAAATCAAAAGTTTGTGGAAAGTCTGCTAGTGTTTCAAAGGTTTGAAGTTTCTACTGCAATTATCCCGAAAAAAAATATGTATATATATATGGTGCAGGCAAACTTATTATCAACTAAATGGCAATAATATCATAGAATCATGCATAGATTAGTATGCATATCTGTTGAACCATTTTATAGAAAATTTTGAACTCTTACATAGATGACACATTTATATATAAATTTAGTCCTTTAGTGGCTAGATGTTGATCCCGGGGTAGGAAAGGTATTTGATGTCGCCGGAGGAATCGAAAAACAATCTTGTTGAGCATTGACAACCTCCTCTATCTTCACTAGAACCTCAGCAATGGAAGGCCTATCCTCGGGACGATTTACTACACAGTTCATAGAGACATTCAGCAAGGGGAAAGCATACATTTCGACCTTGGAAACCTCCAGGTCGAACACCTCTCCGGTCCATTCGTCTCTCACCATGGACTTCACCCACCTTGGAAGGTCTAATCCACTCCTCTCAACAATTTTGCCAGTTAACAACTCCAAAAGAATTATTCCGAAGCTAAAAACATCGGCCTTTTCGCTTAAAGTTTTCTCCGGGGCTGTATACCTATTCGACTTGAAGAGACTTGGGTCGAGAAACTCTGAGTATCCATATTCACTTATCAGTGGTTCTTCACTGTCAGATAACAGAATATTCGAAGGCTTTATGTTCCCATAAGGGATGGTCTCGTCTTGATCATCGAATCTTCGATATATGAAGTCCAAACCTCTTGCTATCCCGACTGCCATGGATAGTCGAAGCTTCCATGGAAAATTCCTTTTGCCCTGTACGTAGTCTGCAAGTGACAAAAAGAAGGAACTGTCAGCTACCCAATTAGGCAATTTTCTACACGAATGCATAATAGGAGTTAGTATACATGAAGATCGGCGTAGAAAATTCCAAAACCGGAGACAAACACGTGCTTCTCTATTAACTTACTCTCAAACAGGGTTAGGAGGCTCCCATTCTTTTGATATCTATAAATCAGAAGTTTTTCCTCATCTGTAGAATTGTAGCCAATTAGAGGAAGGATATTTTGATGCTTTAAGTTGCCTATTTTTCCCATTGTCAAGGCAAACTCCTCAAACGACACCTTGAGTTTCTTCAATCTCTTGACAGCATATATGGCATTGTTCTTCAGTTTTACCATGTAGAGGCTGCTCCAAAGGCCTTGTGTATGCAAATCAGCTGCAGCTTCCAAAAGATCTTCCAATTTGAACCATTCTTCCTTTTCGACAAAGAGCACGAGCTCTGAACGTCTTTCTTCTGGCTTCTCCTCGTCCATTTCTTCGATTGGTGGAGATCTTGAAGGCGACTGAGCAAGCTCCTTTAAAGTCTCCGTTTCTTTTCCTCCTCTAACTGCCCTCATGTACAAGAAAAGTACAACCAGCAGCAAGAGAATTGTAAATCCAAGACATACAAGAATCCACATACCCCATCTTTTATACATTTTGCTTTTCTCCTCATCTTGCCTAGTATGTAGTGGCATTAGTGAAATTGGAGCCATCGCGTATCCTGTTTCTGATTTTTTTTGAGGAAAACTATCCTTAAACCTACGCGAATCAAGTGGTTTCTCCTTAACCGGTATGACTTTTGGTGTCGTATTGTGGACAACGGTCATGAAATGATTATCCGAAATATCTAATCTTCTGAGATTCTTTAGCTTGGTAAGAACTACTGGTACATTCCCGCTTAAAGAATTTCTACTTAAATCTAAATATCTTAAACTTGTGCACTTCAATATCGAGTTAGGAATAGTGCCCTTAATGCCATTTCTAGCCAAACAAAGCACTCTCAAATTTCGGAGTTTGCACATATGATCCACATCCAATATTCCATTGAGGCTTAAATTAACAAGCCTGATCTCTACTACAGCCGTGGCACGTAAATCACATATAATACCCTTCAGTTTATACGAACAGGGATGCGACAATAGCATGATCCTGTCAATCCTCAGTCGATTTTCAGGATCAACAGCACGAATGAAATTCGATAAAGACATGGATTCTGAGAACTCACCCCCATTGCAGAACATGAAAAGTAGAGAAATAGATGAAAAACTCAGCAGCATCTTCAGAATCTGCACTGAATTTCTTCTCCTGTGCTTAAACATAATTCCTACTTTCATATTTGATCAAATTTTTTACAAATATTAGTTTCTCATACTTCTTACTTCTGTCTTGTATAAATGCAGATAAGAACAAGTATTTTTCATAGATTCCAAAGAGGAATGTATAGAAACAAGTGCTATAAAACATTTTTTTCATAGCTAGTATCGAGTAAGGGCTGTTGAGTAATCTTGTCCGAAAGTTAAGGTTGTCAAAGGATCAAAAATTTTGTTTTCAAACACGCGCTCGTGTGCTAATATCACCAGGTAGACAACATTAAAAACAAGGCGAATTAATTAAGGAACTCAAAAAGATTTTTGTGTATGTCTTTTGGAACTTACAAGTCACTTGTATTTTTTATTTTACATAGTGATATTTCACCCTACATATCTAATTTATGGAATCAATTTCACTAAAAAAAATAAATGAAAAAACTGTTTTGCCAAATTGTTTCTCAACTTTGGAAAACGGAAGATTATAGGGCAAACAATGGGTCTATAATTTATTTATATATTTTACTTGCCTGAGAATTGAGATTAAGGACTCAAAAATTAGTGAAGTTACTTTAAAATACTTAGTTTTGGAGTTAAAGATTTCGAGTTCAAGATTTGTCCTCATCCGATTGAAAAATTTAGCGCTCCTTCCTCGTCCAAAATCTCTACTTACAAGGAATGAGAATCCGCACTCCTTGTTGCGTATCCCCTATTTGTTTTTTAAAATTAAAAATATACTAGTTTTTTCATATTTACATAATTACACAGCATATTTAAAAATTTTAATTAAATTGGAGCCGTTGACCAACTGGCTAAACACCTTTTCCATTTTTCAATTGTCCTTAAAATAATAACTTGAAAATTTCTTCTTTCCCGACAAACATTTGAAGGGTCACAACTTTGGCTAATAATTTTTTATCTTCAACCCGTTCTAGCATACGCAACGCACAAACCGGCCGACAGACTGACCAACTAAACATTCATTAACTTCTTTGTAAATCCACTCTAGAGCAATGCTATTTAGCATCATTAGCGCCCACAGGGCACATCTCCAAATAATAAAAAGGGATGGTGGAGAAATCCAGCTTTACTTGAGGCTGCTGCGTCAAGGTTTCGAATCCTGAAATATGAATTTGGCTCTTGGGTAAATGCAAGTGTACAAGCAGCCTTCCACCCTGTACCCTTGGAGACATAACCTGCGATTTACCTCCCTCACGATGCTCCAGAGCAGGAGTGATGGGAGACCCTTAAGATTAGAGTTTAACCTTTTTTTTTATTTAGCATCATTAGCATTTAACATCAATTTAGGTGGTCGCTCTACTGACATTAAATTACATGTTCAATTAAATAAAAAAATAAATTCACTTTTTATTGAACTTATCACATAATTTCACATAAATCGGCGTTAGATAATATTATTCATCCACCACTCAATCTCAATCTAAGCTTTTATCGAAAACAGTTGACATCAACATTTTCCCCCGTTTTTCTTGTTCATCACATTTGACTACATCACAACTCCATCAAAACAATGAATCCAAAGAAGTGCACCGCCATTTTAGATGGGTGATGAATAGCATTATTTTCCATCATATATCATAATCACGCCCAAAAGAAAAAGTTATTCGAACAAAAAGCTGCCCAGCTTATCCACAAAATTCAATCTTACTATAATTAAAATTATTTTGGCAAAAGAAAATGATGTCGCAAATGCCTCAATCACCACCACAACACCTCCCAAATCAATCCAATATCAAGCCAAGAAATCGGAAAAAATAAACTATATTGTCCCTAAACCCCATCTTGAACACGCCCTTCAACGTTAATCGGAAAAAGAAAAAGGAAAAGATAAAAACAATCGGATATCAGTTAATGCTGTGGTTATCAGCATTATTTTCGTCGTCATCAATTCCATCAAAAAAGGGGTCCTTGAGGAGATCAGCAGCCGATGGTCGAGCCCTAGGTTGAGCAAGACACTTCTCGATGAACTCCTTGACCTCGGGGTCCTTAATCTTGTTCATGGCTTGTGGCCTCAATCCAGATGTCACCTTTTTGTATATCTTGGCAACGTTGTCACACTCGCTATAGGGTAATTCAAGAGTCACCATCTCAAGCAAACACATTCCAAATGAATAGATATCTATCAGCTCAGTATAGTTCTCATCATATAATTCTGGTGCCATGAATTCCGGTGTCCCAAGTAATGAATACGCCGAGTGGTTCTTGCCAACGGTTGCTGCCATACCCAAATCACCAATTTTCACCTATTTGCAACAAACAAGATAATAACAAATTACAATTTCATCAGAAATTTGAAAAACAAACCTATGCAGGATGAAAAGAATATACAAATCAAAAAGTTCATTCTCTTTACAACGACGACCAAAAATTAAGCTTTGATCAGTGACATGGAATTTTCATCACCATTTCGCTATGTTCATTGCAATTTTAAAGTAAAAATAAAAATAAAAAGACACAATAGTCGGTCATGGTTCCAATGAATACTATATCAGGATAGATTATTGAAGCAGAAAAAACTGCATATCAGTGGATGCCATACTTATCGATTCTTGAGAATAACCTAATAAGATCAAACTTAGTTTCAATTTTTTAAGTTCTTCAAATCTCACTATACCATTTCTCCTTCAGCAAACGGAACAAAATTTTCAAGACAAAGGCGCTGTGCAGAACGGAGGTAAAGAAAAGATAACGACGTTGATTATCAGTTATACCTGACCAACATTGCCATTGACGAAGATATTGCTACAATTTAGATCCCTATGAATGACACAAGGCTCATGAGTATGCAAATAGTCCAATCCCTTGAGGATTTGCATAGACCATTTCTTCAACGCCTTCATCGACACATGCCTATGCTTCTTCCTGTACTCCCTCAAGTTCCCAGAAGTACACACCTCGGTAATGAAATTCAGCGTGTGTTTCTCCTCATCCTGCCACACTGAGTACAACGTGATAATATTCTTGTTTTTCAATGTCCTCAGCAGCCGAACCTCGGAATATAACCGATTGATCATCGCTTCATCTCCAAGGAAGCTTCTCAATTTGACTAGGTTCCAAGCCACCTCAATCCCTTCTTCTTGGTCAAATGCTCTGTACACTTTCTTCACAGCCCCCGATCCAAGCAGCTCGCTATACCGGCCATATCGGCCAGTAGGGTCAACTTCTACGAATGCCTCGCCATCTCGATCCACCAGTTCAGAACCCATACTAGGAATCTACAGGGGGAAAAAGAAAAAAAGCAAACTAAGCCTTGTTCTCGGTAAGTTTGAGTTCAACTCCAAGGGAGTAGTACATGAATAAATCAGATAATGAAATTCTACTATTTCCCACATGCCTCGGTTCACCATAGAAATAACAACTGATTCTTTTCTTTCTTTATCAACAGTAAAAACAAAAAATAAATACGCATCAACAAAAATCACAAAATATGAATTTTCCACCATAATCAAGAGCAATATTTCCGTTTACTAAAAAAGAAAAAAGAGAGAAAAAGAAAAGTTATTGAATAATACTAAATCAAAATATAGTAGGAAAGAAAAAGGAATAAGAAGTGATAATTTACCAAAAATGGAAGCAATTTGAGACGAATCAAACCCCGATAATTTCTCAAGAAGAGGTGAGGCAGAAAATTAGGGATTGAAGATTTTGTGAATTGTATATTCCCTTATTGAAAAGTCATTCTTGGACTTGGATTGCGCAGATTGACTACGATTTAGGTAACTTCAAAGTAGTAAATAAATCAGAATCAGAATTTGATCTTTATCTTGAAAATTTGAAGCTAGTTAGCCGGCTCCACTGTTATATTATTCTTTGATTACGAATAAATGGGGCCGCTAGCTTTAATTTGAAGTTTGAACCTACGAGTTTAGAGCGGGGTGGGACCAATGAGGCTGGCTTACAGGGCCAGCATGACTCGCATTATTCTGATTAGTCGAGCCGACCTTGTCCATTCGACTAGTTCAAACGGTCATCTCGACTTGGAAACTCGAATACGGTGGCTCGTTGATTCAGCATTAATTGCATTATTCTATGTAATTGAGCCGACTTTGTCTATTCAATTTGATCGAAGTGGTCATATCGTGCTGGTTGGAATTAAAAAAGTATGAAAAAATATAAATTTATGTATAAAATTATTTTATTAAATAATGTGTGGTTGAAAATGAATTTAAGAAAAAATATACTTTTAGATATTGGGGCTTGGACATGAGCTTAATTATTTTAGCTATGTTAAATTTTTTTGTTTAATAATATTTACTTTTCTTGAAATAAAATAAAAATAAAAATAATTTGCTTGAGTCATGAGCTTGGGAAGAAGCATTTTTATTTGTTGATGTTTTCACGCGGCGTTGTAAAAATGGGTGTTCCAAAAATCAAATCGGATCAAAGAGTCTGAATGGAAAAATTGAGGAATAGGGTAGAAATTCAATGCAATCATAGTATAAAAATCTGATGAAAAGAATCCAACATAATATCGGTTCAACTAAAACCGATAAATTGATTACGATTTTAGTCGGTTCAACAATTGTTTTTGTTGTCAGAAAGAGAGAAAAAATAATATGTGAAGTACAAAACAAAGCTTTATTATCATTTCTCCGATTGTCCAGTAATCATCATAGCCTATGGCCGAGTCTTGCTCGATTTTAGTCAAAAATCATAATAAATAAAATTGAAAATAGTCTTACAAAGAAATGAAAACATATAGATATTTGTTTGCACGAGAGACAAAAAATTCGCCCTGGAGAGTTTGCAGGAAATAGCACATTTGGATACGAAGCTAAGCTAACCCAAGATTCAAATGGAAATGGTAGGATTTGGATATGGGGTGTCTATGTATTGTTAAAGGAGTTTTTGGCCCATTTAGTTTTCATTAATGTTAAATGGCTCCATAAATAATAGGAAAATTGCAATCAAGGTACCAAATCTTTCATTTAATAGCATATTTGACTTAAATATTTTATTTGTGCCACCATAGACATTCACAAAATTTGCAACTCAAGTCCAAAATGATGGTTTCGATCAGTTTGACCCCAGAAACCTTCAGTTGACTACATTAATTAAAAATTTCATAATTTTCTCCAAACAAGGCAAGGATATTTTGGACATAACACACTCACCCTATTAAATCAGAAATTATAAAATCAAAAATCAAAACAACACCATCAATTTCCTTCGAGGTACTTTTAAAAAGCACCCAATCAAAATATCAAATTTTCATATTGACCAAAATTTTTTGTCATTCACCAAAAGAGCATTTTGAAGAGTAAATATCATGTTTGCCCTTATTATGTGTTGTAATTACAAAAACATATCATTTGCCCAAAAGACGATGATATCGTCTTTAAAAAATTAATAAATCCAAACAATCACATTTAAATCTCCAAACGAAATCACTTTCTTTATCAGATTTTCCAACACAGTTAAAAAGAAATTTCATCTTCCATCTACAACGAAAAAATATTACTCACAGTTGGCGCTTGAAATTGGTAAGTATAAATACGTATGTTTAATTTCATTTTAATTAAATAAGTACATTGTTTGAATATTTAAAGTTTATTTCAACATATGATTTTAGAAAAATGAACTATTACAGTCTTAAATGGATGTATAATTTTTTTTTTTAGCAAAAACGAGGAAAAAATTCATATGTAAAATGTAGAAGACAGTCGGCCAAAAACGTGTTTGGGCCGGATGTTTAACAGCCTGCCCAAATCCGGGCAGGCTTTTAACAGTCGACCCGGACACGTCATTTTTTTTCCTTGTGTCATTTTTTTTGTCCTTTTATTCTCGTAATTACAATTTTTTTAAGAAATGATGTTTCCTAATGTAGATATGGGATCAGCTGCTGTCCCGATTTATTACTTTGGTGAATTTGAAAATAATGAAAATGATTGATGGGTGTGAAAATGGACGAGTGAAAGATATGGTTATACTGCAATTGCAATAACATCAAGTGCATCATATGTAGAAATGTACAATGAGATACAGAACTTACTGAAAGTCGATCCCTCTGAGTACTCCATGGAATTGAGATTTTTAATGGGTGAGAATACATCCATTTCAATTTCACCTATAATTGTTACTTCTGAAACTGAAATGAAGGTTTTAATTGAAATGAACCAAAAACGTGCGATTCCTATTTGCGTAACTTTGATGAAAAAAATGTCCCCGAGAGTGAACACGAAGATTTCAACAGAGGGGATCGTAATGTGAATGAGTTTTGGGACACAATAGAAATAGTGCGTGATGATATTGTAGCCGTTCCAGAAATAGTTGATCCTCACCATGATCTCACTGTTACACACAGAATTTGCTCGGTAGTTCAAGACAACGAAAGAGATAATGACTTTACAAATGAAAATTTGATTGTTTTACCCCGTTTGAGACATGAGTCGAGTGGGAGCTCACAGGCTGGACCGAGTGCATGATCCTCTAATTGTTCGCGTATAGTCCCCGATGATGAAGATTTGTATGTCGAGCAACTGTTTGACACGAAGAAAGATTTGCAGGAAGCTATTCACTGGATTGCTTTGAAACACAATTTTGAGTTTAAAGTGAAGAAATCAAACAAGTCGACTTACACAATTGTCTGCGTTGACGATAGTTGCCTTTGGCGTTTGCGAGCAACGAAAATGGACACGAATAAGTTCTTTATGATTCGTAAGTATGCACGAGAACATACTTGCGAAGTGGGTATTCGTCGAAATGATCACAGACAAGCCCGATCGTGTGTGGTCATGAGCTATCAGAAGGTTTAGAAAGTCAAAGAATGCGCATTGGAGGACTTGATGGGTTCGACCGAGGAGAGTTATGCTAAATTGGCCAGGTATTTCTTTGTTTATATGTTTATTTAATAGTTATCTAAGTCATTCAAACATTAATTTCAATTGTTTATTTAATTATTTATCAATTATTTATCTAATGTGTAATTAATTATTTAATTCAATTGTTAATTTTTCAGTTTTTAAACATTGTTTATTTAATTATTTAAATTATGATTATTGTTTATTTAATTGGTCAAATTTTGCTATAACATGAGAAGAATTAATACTGAATCGGCATTTTTTTATTAAGAAGGATGACGAGAATCGCTTCAAATATTTCTTTATGACCTTTGAACAATGCGTTCGAGGATTTCGAAACGCAATGCGACCCTTAATCCTAGTCAACGGTACAACCCTCAAGACGAGATAAGGGGGCAAGTTGATTATTGCAACATATCAAGATGCCAACATCCAAATTTACCCTCTTGCATTCGATATAGTTGACGGAGAAAATAATTTGGAAATGCGTTGATTTTTCATGAAGTTGAGAGAAGTAATTGGGGATGTCGAGAACCTTGCATTCGTAACCGATCGAGGGCAGTCAATAATTAATGGTATCGTCGAAAACTTCCCCGAGGCACATCATGGTTATTATATGTACCATATACAAGGAAATCTGAAGATCAAGTATTGAGGCAAGGGCATCGTTACGTTGTTTAGGAGAGCTGCAGAGGCTTACAGTTTTCAAGAGTTTGAAAAGTTTATAATTGAAATCGAAAGTAAATCCTATGATGCATGGGAATATCTAACATAAGATGGGGATCGAACATTGGGCACGTTCACTTTTTTCAGGACGTCGATACAACATGATGACGTCGAACAATGCGGAGTAGCTCAATACCTTATTTAAGAAGGATCGAGAGTTACCAATTCTCGCAATGCTTGAAAACATTCGTGACAATCTGCAACAGTGGTTTCATGATCGTCGTGAGGAGTCACAGAGTTGCACAAGTGTGCTAACCCCGGCTCAAGAAGATAAACTCTTCAAGACTCTAGAGGTGGCAAGGAAGGTATATGTAGAACCACTAGATCAGTTTCACTTCTCCGCGAGATGTGCACATAATTTCGGATACATTGTCGACTTGAATGATAACACATGTACGTGTAGACAGTTTCAGTTGGAGAGTTTTATGTGTACACATGCAATGGCGGTGACTATGTATAGAGGAATTATACCACACACCTTATGCAGTGCTTATTATATGACTAGTTCTTGGAGAGTAGCATATACCGAAACCATATTTCCTATACCGAATGAAGCCGAGTGGAAAGTTCCCGATCACATTCTCTCATTGAATAACTTGTTGTCACCAGCAGTCGGCCCAGGTACTCCTGGACGTACACGTACGTCTAGAATACCATCGATCGGAGAATTTTTCCGACCTCGTAAGTGCGGCAGGTGCGATGCAACATGATATACTAGAAGATTTTGTACAAGTCAGACCCCTCTCCATGACAATGTAACAGATGTATAATTGAAGTTTATGTAACATTATTTATAATATTGATATTAATTATTCACGCATATTCTTAATATTAATTATTTATGTTAATTATTAGATTTAGTTTTTTTATTTTGATATTTCATTAATTAGTTTCGAAATATTTGAAGTTAATCATTTTTTAAAACTCAGTGCGTTCTCCACAATATATCCAAACATTATAAATACGTCATGAAACATTTAAATAAACACATAAACTAAAAAATAAAAAATAAATATTAAAAAAATAATATATGTTTTACAATTATTTTGTAATTACAAATGAATAAATGAATGAAATATACAATGTTTAAACGTTACAATATGTATAATTATTTTAAAGAAACACGGCTCAATATCTACGGATCACCATTAAATTCAAATAAATTACAAGCTAATTTATTTCTCCAATTTTGTATCCATGCCTAGTTGATTGCATCAACCTTCTGTGTTATACTAAAAAATTCTATGTACTTGATAG